TTTTTTTTCACTTTTGTTTTTTGCTTGTTTTTATTAGGTACCTACACTAATATTTGCATATATGTGCTTATTTTTATGCGTGGGTATATATATATATATATATATATATATATATATACCAAAAAACAAGCAAAAAAAGCAGACAACCTAGTGTGATCCAGAATATCAGGGAATAACAGCGCACACTGGAAATAATTGGCTTAATATATATATTATATGTGTGTATGTACGTAAATGTGTATATGTTTATGTGTGTGTATATCTCTTTCTCTATATATAGATATATAAGACTTCTTTATTTTAGTGGATGAAACAAGAGTCCCGTTTTTATTTTAAACAGTGCATATTACGTCTATCTGAATGCACATTCGGAAAAACTTAACAAACGAAATATACTATCCGGCATGGTAATATTCGTAGATATAAGACATTACTATAAAAAGAAAACGGGGCGCCCGTTTCAAGCAGGAATGTCTACTAAAATAACGAGTGAAGTAAAAGAAAAAATTTCGGATTAAAAAGAATTCTATTAATTGAATATATATATATATATATATATATATATATATATATATATATATATATATATATATATATATATATATATATATATATATATATATATATATATATATATATATATATATATATATATATATATATATATATATATATATATATATATATATATATATATATATATATATATATATATATATATATATATATATATATATATATATATATATATATATATATATATATATATATATATATATATATATATATATATCAAATGTACATTATTGTATGCTATATTGATGGTAAAAAATTTCTGAATATCCCGGATAGGGCACAAAGGTCAACATCGAAATTTGGGAGTTTGATTCAGGCTGAAACACAATCTTCAGAATATATATATATATATATATATATATATATATATATATATATATATATATATATATAATGAAATGGACGAAGTCCGATAATTGTTTTAATATATTTTTCTGATTATACGTTATTTTTATGGATACAAATTTTTTAGTAAATGCTCTGTTTATAATAAATGGTATTAATTCATTTACTGGCCTGAATATCCGACAAATTTCATAGAAAATATATGTCCTCCGACTGGAATCAAAACTCTATCCTACTGGGAACCGTCATATAGCCTGATGTGCTATACCATTCAGCTACAGAGTAAGCGTCTGGTTAGCAAAGTCAAATTACTGTTGCTAACCAGACGCTTCCTCTGTAGCTAAATGATATCATGGATCAATTTCATAGTGTTGTACAAAACCGATTAAGAAAGACGCCGTAGTTTTGTACACTATTTACATTATTCGGACTATTGTCCTCATCTTTGTTGCCATAATTATTACAACGTTTCGGCCGTTGTACGCTCCAGTCTTCTGCAGGTGGTTGGAATGTCGAACTGAACCCTTTATTTCGCTCACTGGGATAGACTGTTCTAGTTCAATATGCCATGTCTATTGGATGTCAGTTATAATTATATCCTGCTTAATTCCCTCTCCAAGTTCTCCACCTCCTTAGCCAGGTTTTGAACGCACACTCTTTGGGTCCCGTCACTGGATCTATCTAACGCCTTTATCCACTGTGACATGTGTCCTTGAGTGGATAAATATATATTGTGTACAGATAGATATATTATAATGACATTTATTTTCTGAATTTTGAGGATGAGAGAACTGTAACTGATTATTTCTAAAAATAGATTTAACTATTCTTCTGTGATTTGTAGCTAAATACGTCTACATAATCTGAGAGCAACTAATTGTTGCGTTTTGTAAACAAGGGAAGAAGAAAAGAAAAAAAGGAAACAAACTGGACACTTATATTTAGAAACAATAGACAACATTTAAATTTTCTTGGAAAATTTGAAACTCTCAGGATATATTGAATGCCAGTGAACCAAAGAGAAATGATGAGTAACATATCTATTTTGTGTAAATGGGTGTCGGAATATTGTCTGGGATATATAGTAAGGGGTTCAAAACTATTAAGAAATACAAACCGAAGGAAGTTGTGTAGAGCTATTATCAACAGTGTATTTGTTTCTATTTGCTTGAGATTTACAACAGTTCTTCTGTTTTAATAACTGATATATCGGCTTAAAAATAATATTAGTCTGTCAGATATAATTTTGTGTATTTCCAAAATTTAAAAAATATGTGTTACGTCTTTTTTCTGAATCAAAACATGGGCGATTATTTGAATTTCAGACCAAGTTTTCATCGATTAAGTTTAATTTTCTATTGATGATAATCATAGGTCAACATACAATTGATTATTAATCATACAACACGCTAACCGATTTGAGTATTCGTAAAGTATCCCAAGTAATCCAAATGAATATATATATATATATATATATATATATATATATATATATATATATATATATATATATATATTGCTATGTATTTTAGAAATTCTTGATACAATACGAAAAAGAATCTGCTTTGTTATTTAAGCTGTAACGTAGCTTCTCTCTGCCTTTTCTATAAATACTTTCATTGTAATTGTTCTGATGAAATTTCGTCTATGTTACCAAGACTTTATGTATCTAAGCGAAGTACTAAATAAGGGCAATATCTCATCATTTTATAGTTGAAATGTCTCATTGCATCCGTAATTTCTATACTTCCCGCTTGTAAAACTCTCTTCAGGCTTTTATGTTTCCCAGTCCACTTTGATCTTCAAAATATTAAATGCAATGTCAATGGTTATCTTATATCATCATTCCTGTTCTTTTATTGCTTTCCCCCTTTATTAGTGTTTTTGTTGTTTTTTTTTCCTCATATTTGCTCACACTCAGTATTCCATTGCATCTTAGTGGATTTATTACCTTGCTTGGGGTTGAAAAAGAATAAAAAAGACTTCAAATCACACAGATATTTTTAGTTTACACCTATATTAAAATTAGTTCCAAAATAATGCATTTTATGCCTTTACATCGTACGTTTGAGGCCAAACACTTGACTTATAGACATTCTAGACCATATTCCACGTGCACTTTATCATGATTTCACAGATTCAGATGTTATTACAGTTCATTGAAAGCTATATTCATAATTATTATTTAAGTCAGCTCTTACCAGAAGAAGAGAAAATAGAATTAATTCCAGTTTATATAAGGATGTCCTTTTTAAAACTGCTCACGCAATGTGATTTTATATTTCTTATTAATGTTACTAAAACATTATTCAAGATTTCAATTATAAAACTAGAGAAGAATGTCTAAACAATACAGTCTTTGTATATGAATAGCACAACGGACATCCGGCTGACAACACTCAAGTTACGATAATATTAAGACAAAAATGTTTATAAGAATTCCGTCTTCTGTTCTACACACGATTTTATGTGTTTGTAGGCAGCGCAAAATAATGAAAAGAGTCATTAAAGGCACTTGTCTACAATGGAAAACTGCTGTGTCTTGACTGAACACTTATAGTGAAATACATTTTTTGCCATTTTTTGTTATTTTGGCCTTTTTCGTTTTTTCGTCTTTTGTTTTGTTCTTTAAAATTGCTTGTGTTGTTAATAAAACTCTTACTCTGTATTTTAATTCTCTTTCTTTTAACATGTATCATCTCTAGAGAACAAGAGTTAAGAAAGGTTTGTTGTGATATACTCGTTTTTCACTTCTTATATACATATATATATATATATATATATATATATATATATGTGTGTGTGTGTGTGTGTGTGTGTGTGTGTGTGTTTGTGCGTCTCTGTGTGTAAAATTTCAGATATAATACGACAAAAGAAAAACTTATCTTAGCGGACGTCTTTCGTCCTTTGATGGATTTTATCTTATTTTATTTTGCAAATGCTTTTATAATCAAAAATAAAAATGTCGTTAGTTATTAAAGACAATACTCCTAAATATACATCAGGATAACTGAAAAGTCGAGGTAAATTATGGGGGATGCTAAGTTATATAATTTTATGTGTAATAAACAAAAGTGAGCAAATGTATTTTCCTTATTTCTTTATTCATATATATATATATATATATATATATATATATATATATATATATATACATGCAACTTCAATTGAGGACGATTGACAAGACACAGCGATTAAGATTTTCATTAAAATTTTATTACATTCTTAGATGTCGCTTCTTTTCAGGATATAGAGATTATACAAATGGTTCAAATTATACATGGATCTTTAAATAAATAGTAGAAGCTCCAGACCAGACAGGACTGCAATATTCAATGTCTGAGTGAATGGAAGATTTATAAATTTGTAAGTTTATTATAGATTCTTTTAAATAACATTTTATTCTCGCCGAATATTATGCTTTTTTTACACTTGGAAGATTAAAAAACGGATGTTTTGGGCACTCGATGTAAGACAGAATGAAGCTTTGATTTAATATATTTTATTTTTAAGAATACAGAATAAAATAGCTTACAGTTCTGGTTCTTTTATACATCAAATAATTTATATGTTTCATGAAAGCATGGCAGTAATTTGGACGAACTCTACAAAACAGATTGGGACTTTGGGGCAATATAACTAACTCCAGCTTACGATACCCTGGTGGCTATTTTGCGCTGCATAAAATAAATATGATCTTTGGACTGTCTACCTTTAATTTCTATCTGGATGTACAACTTATTTAGAAATTTAAAAAATCCCCCAAAATATTTAACAGTTTTCACTTGAATCCAACTCACTCACTTACACACACACACATATTTCAGTAAGCTTTTGAATATACATATATACGTGTGTGTGTGCGCATGTGCGCGCGTGTGATTACAAAGATATTATGATTTATTTCTGATGGATTTTTTTATTTTGCTGACATGACGTGGGAGCAAACTAAAGATTATTGTAAAACACAAAAAAGTAGATTCTCCGTCATTTTTCGCCAGAGCTTTTATTAAATAGTGTTTTGTCTTTTAAATTTAGTTAAATTTTATACCTAGCAGATAAATATTTGAATTGAATAACTAGATGTTAGAAATGGGAAAATAGATAGATAGATAGATAGATAGATAGATAGATAGATAGATAGGGGCCATAGAAATCAATAAACTGTAAATAGCCGGTGTTCAACGACTTCTACTGAAACCACGCTTAATCCACATGCACAACCCCCTTTATAGTATCACAAATGCTGTGTTTATTGATTTGTATATACAAACTGATTATATCTATAAACGCTAGATCTTTGATACTGAGAGTATGTCCTCTATAAATATAGTACATTTAAGGATATATATATATATATATATATATATATATATATATATATATATATATATATATATATATTGGCAGAGAAAGTGTTTTTAATGTAAATACTATTAAAAACATCAGACATTATTCTTTAAATAATTAAATAATAAAAAAATACTTATCTATAATGGATACCCCAATTATATAGTCGATAAGAAAATCAAATTCCAACAACAATATTAATAATAAAAATCACAGTTGTAAATATAACATTAATAATATCACTCTTAACATATATTCATTCACTTTTGTGCCATGTGTGATACACGCTAAGGCGATCATATATCTTTCAATATTTCTTTCTGCAGTAGTAATTGGCATCCAAGGCCAAAGATCTCAGTCTCTCCTGCTATTTACCCATAGCTTAGGGGTATAAGAAGAGGACTTATACTTTTCCCGTATTAGCACGTAAGTGAATGCAATGGATTCAACAGGATTCCTCAATCCGAGCCGCTATCCATTATTCTGCCGTGCCTCCTAACCTATATTACCGAAATCAAATGTACAATTAAAAAAAAAAGACGAAACAAAAATAAAAAAATACTATAGATAGATATAAAAAAAACGCCGATAAAAATAAATGTATGATTCATTATTTACTACAAAAATACAAAACTAGCAACTTCCTTATTAAAAATAATATTACAACATTATTCCATTATTCCAACACCCTATATAAGACCAATATTGTGTATGAATATACTTGCCCTTACTGTCACGGAGACTCACCTATCGGATCAGAGTACCATCAGAAAACAAATTAATAAGCATTAATATTGATTAGAGTAAACTTAGACAGCAACTGACAAGCAATATCATAATACGAGCAAAACGAAATAGTAAAAAAAGGCTCATGATCCATGATTCAATATTTATACAACAAAAACAAGCATCACTATAAAAACAATTATAATTTAAGAACTTAATTATATTGTTATTCTTTATGTTAAGATATATTTCGTGATCAGATATGCGCAGTCGAGAAAAATGTCGAAGTTGTATATTTATAAACAGTAATTCGAACTTTGCTAACCAGACGTTTTTTTGTAGTTGAATGGTTAACAGCATGCCAGATCAGATGATGGTTACCATTAAGGCTACAAGTTCGATTCCTATCGGAACAGCACATATTTTCTACGAAATTTCACGAACATCCAGACTGGTAATAAATGTAAATTAAATGTAATTATTATTGCTAACTTAAAAAAAAACAAAAAACAAAAAAAAACAGAATATTTACTCAAATAAATTTTATCTATAAAATAACATATAAAAAGAAAATAAATTAAATGTATATATAAAAATACACGTCACTACTCGGTTAAGTGACAACAGTTTTTTTTGTTGCAATACAACATTCACTAGTTCTACGAAACTCAGCAATTCTCACTACTTATTTTGATGATGAGTTAAGAACGCTTTGAGTATATTTCTTGTACCTTTCTTCTGGAAAATTTCTGACGGAATTTCTTCATTGTATGAAATGGATTATTTGAAATTTGGAACAACGTTCATTAAAATTAAGCAGCACAAAATACCTCTATTTTTTAATTGTATTTTCATATATATATATATATATATATATATATATATATATATATATATATATATATATATATATGGGCAACAACCTTTATTTCATTAATATGGCAACCAAGGAATATTTACGTTTTTCCGTTTTGTATGAGTAAGGGAGTACAGAAAATTTCTATAATTTTCAATGTCCAAACGCTTTCGGCGACTTCTTTAGCCATATTCTAAGGGAAGTTTGTTAATTTCTCTTCATGTTTTACCGTTTACGATTCATAGTTTGTGTGTGTGTTGTTTTGAATATTAGTAGGAGCGTTTATTTGTTAAGCGCGGCTGGAATTCGCGTGATTGTCTTTTTTTTTTAAAAGAAAATCAAAATTTTAACAGACCATTCCCATTGTTAAATAAGGTGAGGTTGATAGTAGTAGAGAGATGTTTCATATACACAGCCTCTTTTCTAGCGAGATATTTCCAGTAATGAGATATATATAGAATTTTATTGTTTTCAACCAGAATATTTTTAAGGGTTCTCGCAAATTGTGGGTAGATAAATGTTTTTTTTTAATAGAACATTTATCAGATAGGAGATATGTGTGGCATCTACTCAAGGAGGTATTAATATATCCGATATAGGTAATTGATACATGACAAGAAACACAAGTCAATGATATTGATACATTATATTGGTCATCGCTAGTTTAGATTAGATGAGATTATCTTTATTAGTGACAAAAAGTTTTGCAGTTTTCTGTAATGTATTATAAGTTTTACTTATTTTTCGGGATTTACAGGAGAAATATGGTGTTTAATGATTTTTTTTCATTTAGCGAATTCATCCTGCTTATAATTATTGTGCATCTGGTTGCAGTAAAATATGTTGAGGTTTTGTTGTGTGATATTTTTATTACTCGTGTCTTGTATTTTTGGGAGAATAATTTTATTTGTTTATCAATGATATAGTTGGGGAAAGCATTGTTGACTAATGTTTATTTTATGTGTTTTAAATCATTCACAAATAGTCGTTGGGAAAAGGAAGTTAATTGTGCTCTATTTAGTTTTTGTTTTTTATCAATGCTATTTTATAACTTTCCAGGTATTGGCTATCATAGTTTAGAAAACAGTTGTTCGTACTGCTGGGATTTTTGTACGGATAAGTGGTAAATATTTTGAATTTTAGTTCTATATCGCCTTCAAGGAATGATATGTTATTAACTATGACTTCGTATGTAAATTTCAGCATTGAGCTTTTTTTACAAAAGTTGATATTTGATTTATAATTTTGTCTTTATTTTTTATCGAAACTAAAATATCGTCAACGTACCTTGTAGTTTATCAGTTGGTTCAAACACTTTGTTTTCAATATCAGACATATAAAAGTTAGAGAAAGCAGGGCCTAATCAATTTTGCATGCTGATGTCATTAGTTTGCATACCGACGTCATTAGTTTCCTGTTGCAGTGTAATACACACACACACACACACACACATATATATATATATATATATATATATATATGTATTGTTTGTATTTAGGGAGATTTTTTTCATTCATACATGTTTCATTAAATAATATAGACAAGTGTTGTCTAAATAGACATGTTTTTTATTTTATGTAAATTCTTTTCATAACGTCTGATAAGTTTAATAACATTATCATTAAACGAAGAAAGAAAATCAGAATATTGATACATATTTTTTAAACCAATCTAAGTTTTCGGCTTGCATAAGCCATTATCAAAGATGACAATTACTGTACAATATATTAAACAATATACGGACAAGACAGGGATGATAGTCTATTTCTGTTTACATGGATGATTTCCAAGCAACGATAAACACGTGCATATAAGACGCTGGAAGCGAAAATCGCACCGCAGCTCATGACGTCACACAGACCACGCGAATGTGAATTGGAGAAGTATTAAGTATGGGAACCGTTGGTATAAACCAATGGCTTCTGTTAGCAATACGGCATATCAATCTCAATGGATCATTTAATGCCGACAACTTTTTTTCCTGGAAATAATTTTGTTTTATCAAAAATCTATTTCTGGTAATATTTTTTGCTCGAAAATGTATTGCTGATATTTTTTGGTAATATTTTCTTTCTTCAAAAATTTATTTCTGGTAAAAATGTTTTACAAAGTATTTCTGGTATTAAAACCTATTTTTACACTTTCATAATGCTTGTTACCTCACTTTGGGATTAATTATTTGTCCATAGCTGGGACCCTAACAGGTGCTACCCCCGCGGTTCAGGATGGACTTGGTAACACCAACAATTAAGAAATGGTTCAACGCTCCTCAAAGCCTCCTGATCAGAGACATTGCTGTTGGACGTACTTTATCGTCTTACCCTGGACGTGGATGTAGTTTATCATCATACCCAGGACGATATATATATATATATCCGTCTGTCTCGAGAGACCATGGATCTGTTCCCTAAATTTTATGTCTTTGCTGCTGATGGCAATGCAGCATCTGTTACGGCTGTACAAGTCCTTATAGGAGTGACTGTATCGATTGTATCCAATACACGTGAAGAAGCTCTCCCCTGATCTCAGTATGTTGTTTTCTTTTATTTTCTATCGTGCTTCACCTCGGCGGCAAGCCTCCATTCCTCGCTACATCCTCTCGGTTTAAATCGCGTATCCATCGTGAGCTATCGTTAGCGACGTCTTCTCACCTCTCAATGCCCAAGTCCATCGCATCATGTCACTTTTGTAGACATCCTTAAAGCAAAGATGATGCCGCCCTCATGCCCTGTTAACGCTGGCCAGTTCTCCATACCGAATGACATACTGAATCCTCCCACTGTTGCTTCCCGCGATTTGCCGTCGTTGTCGCGGTGAGGTGACACTAGTGTGTTTGAAATACATTTGGAAAAATCAATGTAACTCTCTTACATTATAAAACAATGTCAATGATTTTGCGCTTCGACATTATTTGTTATTATTCAATTGCAGATATTTTTTTAAACTATGATAATCATTAATAGTGTTTATAGAGTTTAGTTCTATAATTGGTGATATTAATTACACTTGTGAAGTTAGCCATCAGATCAAGCCCTTGTTAACACTAAATTTTCCCGAATTTGACAAATGATTAATTTTGTCTTACAATAATAGATACCTACATTTTTCGGCTCGCTGGGATTTGACAATCCAGCAATAGGAAAATTGTTTATGCGCTATTTATATATATTTTTTTATAACCAGAAGTTGGAAATTAATTAAGCATTTCCTGGCTTATTTGTTTAAACAATGAGAACTTGGTAGTGCCATGTTTGTCGATCAACATTTTAAAACAACGTCCCAAACGTTAAGAAGAATTAATTTTCTTAGAAATGCTTGAATAAAATACAACACATTTGAAGTTTTTAAGCAATCTAATTTAAGCTAAAAATGAAACAAAATAAAGAAAACATCAAACCATGTAACAATTATCAATTTCTATTTATTTATATATTTTTATATGTTCTGTCCAAACTGTAGTGGGAAGGGAGTTAAATCAGCTTATATTAATACTGTGGATTCCGGGATGAAATCCGGTCTCAAAATGAATGACAAACGCAGGAATGAAATATAGCAAATAAATGTATTGACGTAATAATACAATTGGTAATACGGTTAGTAGATCCAGAAATGCGGTTAGTGTCAATAATATATATATATATATATATATATATGGGTAGTATATATATATATATATATATATATATATATATATATATATATATATACTACCCATATATATATATATATATACAGTCTGGGAAATTCAGTATCGAAGTATGACTTCCTTCTGAGTCTACGTGCTCGCAACTGTGACTCCTACCAAGCGGTTACCTCCCACTCTCACTCTTTCACTGTATCACTGTCATTGTCTGGGTATTCACCGGCAGCAGTACAAGTACATACCGGGCGAGTCCACTTGTATAAAAAAAGGGGTGGACCCCATAACAATTAGTAAATTTATGAGTAATTATTTCCCTTTGTAGTTTTTATATGTACAAAAATATTTATCAGCATTTAGACGTAATTAGTCCCTGTGCAAATTGAACCGTTCAATTAATCAAATCACTTCCTTTTCTCTTATGTTTCTTAGATTGCATCATTATTTTTTCAAGCCTTTCATGTGAGGCACTCAGATACCGTTGTCTATTAAGTGATTGTCTTGTTTCAAATTGCTCTTGAAATAGACTTTGGGGTTTTTGTCGTTTTGTTTCTAATCATTTTTTCCGAGATATATTCATTTGAATGTTATATTAAACATATAAATTTTTAAAAATGAAAAGATATTGTGTAAAAAGTTATTTATATAATACCAGGGGTAAGCAATGAATCATTGATTGTTTGAAAAATATAAAGAGAACGGATTAATTTAACGATTTGTTGGCTTCTATTTTAGTTGTGAATTGTTTATCTCCGCTTTAGTGAATCTAAATGCATTGCTTCAAGACTTTCGTTTCATTTCATCTCACTATTAAAACTTTCTAACAATTTCTACTTTTTTTTAACGACAATGGTACATTATTATACAATATTGATAGAATTTAAAAACAAAAAAAATGTAGGCAAAAAGTTTTCGCTATCTTATAAAATGGTAACACAAGAAAAATTTTAAAAATTCTGATTTATTAATCTATTGTTAATGAGTTATCTTGCTATAGAATCTGTTGTTTTTTTTTTTAAATCTTTTTCGGCTTTTTAAAACAATACATTGACATCAAAATATATCGACATTTTGCGGTACCGGGTCTAGCATTTAAGGAAATCCATATAAATTACGCAATCTACTATTCACAAGACTTACAGGGTTGATGCATAAAGTAAATGCCCTCAGCTACAAAAATTATAGAATTAAGAACTGATACCCAGAAAAATCAATGATAGTTTATATTTAGAATATTTCACTAATGAATGTTTTTTTTTCTTTCCGTGTGTTCTTCGATCTATTTTTAAACATGTGACATTGATCGGAGGAGATCGATATTTCTCAAATGCCCAGGGTTAGAAAGACTTCGAAGAATGGACATCGCATATACGATGATGTTTAACAATAAAATATAATGAAAAGAAAAATCACACTATAAATTAAAATTTATTCAAGATTTCACTGTTTGATTTTCCTATGTCAGCAAGTAGATTTATTATTTTTATGTAACTACCATCTATAAAAGATAAGCTTTCAAGGGTGAAAAGGCAATTAAATCACAGCTGAAAAATAGAATAAAACGAAGTGCTATGAATAAACTTGGAAGGTCAAGCATCGGCGGAAAAAGCAGAAATTATTCGGAAAAAATAATCTTTACAAATGATACATCTAAGAAATGATGTCTTGTTAAATAATAGTCTAGCAGACTATAAATTATTAGAGAATTGTTTTTTTCCCTGATTTCCTCATTTTGAGGTCAGATGCAGGAAAAATAGGAAGTCAGTTTTGATTGGTTAAAATTAGCGGCCGAGAAAGAAGAAGGCAACATTATGAGTGAATCAAGACTGTCGCCCCAAGACCAACCCCTGCCAAAGACCTATGGAAAATTTTGCTTATTTGAAGCAGTGACCAGCACGTCCTAGCATGGAGGGACGCAGAATGAGGGTTGCATCACAATGTTTGCTTTCTTTTTTTAGATTCTTTGCCGCTCCAGTAGTTGTACTGTGGTTTATTTTCACTTATTTACCGACTTGAAATTCCCTTTTGAATTCGTTGGTTTCCTTTATTATTATTATTATTATTATTATTATTATTATTATTATTATTATTATTATTTCCTTTGATTTCTGATGTGTACACATTTCTTTCCGGGTCCCAGCCAGGGACCTAAGTTTAGAAATAGCGTCATGACATTTTCCACTGAAAATAAAACCCACATATTTTGCATAGATAAAGCCCTTCGTAAAGTGTGGGCTGTACACATGAGAACATTTTTTTTGTATTTCTTTAAGGTATGGGCTTCCAGGGATTCCTTCAATTAGTTTACTGGAATCATTTCCAACCAATCCGAGGGCTCCAACTACAACGGGATTGTTGATGTTCCCATGTGGCACATTTTTAAATTCGAGTTCAAGTTCCTTATATTTTGATATTATTATTATTATTGTTATTATTGTTATCATCATCATCATTATTATTATTATTATTATTATTAATATTATTATTATTATTATTATTTAACCATTGTTTCGTAGTACCAGTCGCACTGAAGCCTCAAACGGAGTCTTCAAGAGGCACCAAGTTTCTTTTATTCTTATATATTTCAGAAGATGCAAACTGATGAGGTACCATGCAATCAGAGAAAAAAAACTAGTATAATTTTGGTGTCTACGTAAGAATCTATGCAAGATGTGCGAAGCACAAATTAAGTTTTTTTATAATTCATATATTTTAGGGCATCCAGTAACTTGTTCCACAAATTTGTTTGCTCCTTTTGATATCATTGCCAAAACCCTAATGACAAAACGTAATATTTTTGTCATGAGATGAAACATTCCACTGATTTCCCTCTTGAAATCCTTGTATTTATTTAGGTTTTCAATCGTTTTCAAAGATGTGTTTTTCTCAGATGGGTCTGCAAAATCGATCAGACTACCTTTATTTTCAACATAAAGTTTCACAATTATATCTGCTCGATTTGTGTAAATTTCCCAATTAGTCTGAATTAGTCCAATTAGTATTATTATTATTATTTCCTTTTTTGTCAAGGTTACTTTTTTCGTTTACTGTAACTTCCTGGACAAGTAAGGTAGTTATTAGAACGTGTTGACAATTGTGCTCGTCCAATAACTCACTTTTTCTTCAACAACCATTGGGGCGACTTTATTACAGGATATTTCTATTTGAACGATGGAAATTTGGAATTAAGCTTCTCCTAACGTTTTACTGCGACATAAGCATATTCAGCCAAAGGTGAGATTAGAAATCGGCTCCGCGATTCCGTTTTTTCGTTGATAGATCATCACACACCTTCTCTTAAATAACTACAACATATATAGTACCCTTATGATCTGAACTCGAACAAATAAGGACCGACAAAAATTCATGATCTAAGCACTGTGCACATATTAAAATGCTTGCTGGCTTAGAGCCATTCAATCGAGACCCATAAACTGGAGAATGAGAATGGAAGAAAATAGGAAATCAAAGAGGAAAATACCGAATCGAAATAAGAAGGATTGTGGCGGAAAGGAGGGTGGAATGTGGTGGGGGAGTAATAAAGATAAAAAAAACAACAACTGCGAGTTGATTATAAAGAGAGAGTGGGAGGTAAGTAAAGAGAGGAAAGAAATAAGCTGAAGAAAATTGTGTTGGGATAAGGGAATAAAATGACGAATGGGAAAGATAAGAAGAAAATACTGATAGCGGAAGTGAAGGCAATTTGGTCGGGTGGAGAAATAGAAAGAAATGGAAGAACGAAAGAAGCCACTTCAGAGAGATAAAGACATCGAGAAAATGACTAACAGTAAAGATAGACCCAAGGTGCAAAGAGAAAATAACGATAGAGATAGAAAGAAAGTGTATGAGGAAAAGAATGAAAATGGAAAAAAGAGGAAAACGGAAATGTATATAAGAAAGAGAAACAGAAAATTGTAAGAAGATGATGTTGAATGTAGATGAACTAAAAGAATGTAGTAGACTTATAGAGAAAATAGATGGATGCTGGAGGCAAGAAACGATAATAATGAGGCTGAAAATGAGAGAAAATTTGAAGTAGGCTGGAGGGAAGAGACAAAAATACTTAGTCTGAAAATGAGAGAGAAAATAGATGGAGGCTGGAGGGAAGAGACAAGAATACTTAGACTGAAAATGAGAGAGAAAATGGATGGAGATTTGAGGGAAGAGACGATAATACTGAGTCTGAAAATGAGAGAAAATTTGAAGCAGGCTGGAGGGAAGAGACAATAATACTTAATCCGAAAATGAGAAAGAAAATAGATGGATGCTGGAGGCATGAAACGATAATACTGAGTCTGAAAACGAGAGAAATTTTGAAGTAGGCTGTAGGGAAGAGACAAGAATACTTAGTCTGAAAATGAGAGAAAATAGATGGATGCTGGAGGGAAGAGACGATAATACTGAGTCTGAAAATGAGAAAAAAATTCGAAGCAGGCTGGAGGGAAGAGACAAAAATACTGAATCAGAAAATGAGAGAGAAATTAGATTGATACTGGAGGGAAGAGACGATAATACTGAGTCTGAAAATGAGAAAAAAATTCGAAGCAGGCTGGAGGGAAGAGACAAGAATACTGAATCAGAAAATGAGAGAGAAAATAGATGGAGGCTGTATGGAAGAGACAATGATACTGACTCTGAAAAATAGATGGATGCTGGAGGGAAGAGACAATAATACTGAATCGGAAAATGAGAAATAAATTAGATGAAGGCTTGACGAGTGAAAATAAAAGGCGGTAAATATATCTACCAACTAAAAGAAGTTCCTTAGATACGTAGGAAAAAGAAGATAAAAATGAAATGAATAGAACATATATAGAAGGAAGCTCTAAAAGATGTAAAGACAATTGGTAAGCCATTGCTAGTTTTTAACTGATTATATAAATCATTGTAAATAACAACCCGATATATATAGTGGAGTGGAATACAGACATTTTGCTACCTCGACTTTACGACTTTACGTGTAGTACCAAATTGATTGATAGGTCTTATCCTTTCACAGTTAAAACTGCGAGATGTAACCAAATGCTAACAGCTTCTTCTCTCGCACTTATGGACTGTGGAACTCTCTTTCGACTTCTTCAACAATTTAAATGCAATGACTATCATTATTTTCGTTCTTGTTAATTCTTGCGGTTTTTTAATTATTTTTCTCTCTCCTTAATAACGCTTTTTTTTTTACTCATATTCATTTATACTCTTTAACCCCTTGCGTCTTAGTGGCTTTATTGCAATGTTTGTAACGAAATGATAAAAAATATGTTAAGTGGATAAAAGCGTTTGAGATACATTGAAAAATTGTTAATAAAAAACTGTTAATAAAAATGCTTAATAAAAACTGTTAAGGAAAACTGTTAATAATAAAAGTGATAATAAAAATTGTTAATAAAAACGCTTAATAAAAACTGTTAGTAAAAACTGTTAATAATAAAAGTGTTAATAAAAACTGTTAATAAAAATGCTTAATAAAAAACTGTTAATTAAAAATGTTAATAATATAAGTGTTAATAAAAAACTGTTAATAAAAACGCTTAATAAAAACTGTTAATTAAAAGTGTTAATAAAAAGTGTTAATAAAAACGCGTAATAAAAAACTGTTAATTAAAACTGTTATTAATAAAATTGTTAATAAAAAACTGTTAATAAAAATGCTTAATAAGAAACTGTTAATTAAAACTGTTAATAATAAAAGTGTTAATAAAAAAACTGTTAATAATGAACTGTTAGTAAAAAGTAAAAAAAAGAACAACTTGTGAGATGCAACCACGAAATAAATGTAAAGTAGAAAAGCTGAAATCTATAACAAAATTGGTACACACAGAAATTATGTGTATGTGTGTGTGTGCTTGTGTGTGTGAAAGGAAAGTTTAGTGAGAAGGATGTAGGGTGAGAGAAACTTTGTGCTATGAGAGAAAATTCAGGAATGAACGTTCAAAACGAGGATGGCAAGAAAGAAGGAAATCTCGATATAGGAAAAAAAAAGAAATTAATAATAAAAGTTCTAGATGGAGAACAGAAAAAAAAATAATGTTAACAGAGCGAAAAATAAGGAAAAAATAGAAAAGGAAAGAAAAAACGAAAAATAAGGAAGAGAAAGAAAATTTAATGAAGAGAAAATAAAAGGAAAATAAGAAAAAGAAAGAAAAAATGGACAAGGAAGAGAAAGAAAGAAATGTTATTAAAGAAAAATAAGAAAAGAAAATTCTTTCAACAAAAATTAAAAAAAGAAAAAACGGAAAATAAAGAAGAGAATCAAGGAAATGTTAATAATAATAAAAGGAAAACGTGAAAAGAAAAAAGATAAACGAAAAAGTAAGGAAGGGAAAGACACAAATGATAATAAATAGAAAAATAAAAGGAAAAAAGAGAAATATGAAGAAGAGGGAGAGATGCAGATGTTAATACAGGGAAATGTAAACGGAAAGTATGAAAAGGAAAGAAAAAAGAAGCCATATTTGGAGAGGAGGGGCGAGAAAAGAGTGACAGTAATCAAAAAGGACATTATGAACAAAGAAGAAATGAAGATAAAAAAGGCAAATATGAAACATTAGAGAGGAAAGGAGAAAACAACAAATGGATAAAGAGAGAAAGCAGATATTCTGCAGAGAAAACAAGAATGATGATGAAAAGTAACAAAATAAATGGACATCAGAGAAAAATAGAAAGAGGAAAATGCAAAAAGGTGGGAATATATTGTGTGTGTGTGTGTGTGTGTGTGTGTGTGTGTGTGTGTGTGTGTGTGTGTGTGTGTGTGAACGAGAGTAGAAAACGTTGGTGTAAATTTGCCATAATATTCCTTGGCGTTTTTATTGTGTGTTCTAACATTCATTCGGGTCAAATATTCCGTTTTATGGCCTCCATGTGGGTAGCAGCCGACAAAGTTGAGATTAAGTTAGATGAAGGATTTTAAGCCCTTGTCATTATGTTTGCTCTCTACGAAGATTTCGCGCGAAGACCGAACGTACTTAGTGCCACAAGAGTACCGCTGATACTGGAATTGAAGATACTTGCAAAGTTAAATGCACAGCCTCATATTTACTGACAGCGATGACTATCGTAAAGTAATGTTTAACACGGCAGTCTCGTAGGACATTGTTATTGCATTGAATTTCATACTCACCTGGTTGGTAATTTTAATTGTATCTCTTTGGGTAGCAGTTCTTCATTGATGCAGGTTTGCCTGAATAATAAAAAATACAATTCTTTCTTTAAGATTTTTTATGGTTCGGAACTGGAGAATTTGAGTAAAAATATTGTCTTCTGAAGGTTTTCGGCATTTGTAAACTATTAGCGAAAAGTTTTATTTTATTTATTTATTTTTTAATATGGTCATGTTTATTTATATGTATTGTGTTTTCTTTTGCTTTTTTTGTATTTTTTGAGAGTTGCATCGTCACACCTCAGTGTGTGTCCTTTCGGATACTTACAATTATTCTGCTCTCACGCGCCATTTTTTGGTTTCCTTTATTATTTTTATTATGATGATTATTAATTGTAGAAATATTGTATATTTATCCTAGATTGATTTAAAATTTATTGGAATCTGTTTATTTGTTTTTATGGTTAAGGTTGCTAGTATTTTTAGTTGTTTTTACATTTTATGCGGCTCGGTATTTTTGTGTTGTTGATAAATATTTTTGATAATGACATATGAATACCGAATGGGACATTCATGTTCAAATTCCACGCCACCCGGAAACGAGAAGAATGTCTCGAAAAGTAGAAAAAATTAATAAATAAACTTTAGCTAGTAGTGTGCAGAAAGGAAAGCAGAGAGTGCGACAGCCCCGGGCATCCATATCAGAAGGACATCTAATCAAAGAGTGAGATAAAAAAATTTTAAAAATTAATTTTTGCCATTTGATATAAAGTATTTATTTCATGTTTCATCTGTTTTCATATATTTAAAGTTTCTTTAAATCGTTTAAAATTCCTTTTTCATATTTCTCAGTACTAATCCGCTTTATTTGAGTCTTACGTTACAGATTTTAACATAGAATTTTCGGAAGTTTTGAATCAAACTTTTATAAATTATTGAGAATATATGACTGCAATAGGTTGACATCACTAAGATTTAAAATACAAAAATTGAAAAGCAGTGAAAATAAGAGAATAAAGCTTTACCGGAATCGGAAACTGTAAAATTTGATTTAAATATGAACAGAAATATATTTTAAAAAAATCATTTGTAACTTCCTGTAAATTTCATATGATGTAGAAGTGAAATAAGTCTACTTAGGGCAGGCGACGAAACTAAAGAAAAATCTATGAAAATGAAATAATATGAAGTATAATGAGTGGTTGGAAATTTAATCAAAATAAAGCTATAAGGAAATACATCTTGCCAATATCCTTCAAACGGTAAGTGTTTAATTAATATATAATGTCTGAACACCACTCAATGAGTGGCGAATGTTATTAATGATATCAAATAAACATGTCAGGAATATTCCTTCTACAGCAAACACTCTCTGGACAAGAATAGCTTACCCAAAGAAAACCATGACTAAAATCGATGCAAATAGGTCAGAGTAAAATCTAGGCAGAAGGTTTACGATAAATATTCAACGTTTTACGATAAAGCAGGGCTGCGGTTAGAAATAACTTCGGAGGAAGAACAAAGTCTCAGCATTATAATTGCTCCAAACAGTTCGCAGGGGTTCTTAAGAAGAATAAAATAAATGACTTGATTAGTCTAGCATGTTGATGGATGTAAATACAATGGAGTAGTTTTTACATTTGCTGACTCGGAAAGTAAAAGACAAAACGAGGATCCAACAAGACAGGTTAAAAAAAAGAACAAAAGCTGTAAGATAAATAATTCCACTAAGTCTTTATGTAAATAAATTGGAAGCCTCAGTAAATTCCTGGAAGGCACACCAAAGATACAAATCAATTATGGACAGATCTGAAACCAGCTTGGATAGATAAAGAAAGAAATTCAGAGACTAATCGACGCTATTCTACATTGCATAGCCGCTGTTATTTCAGGTAAATGGATGATCTATACGTTATTATGAATCATAAATACAATTAATATTTTAAATTGTTCATGTTTTTTATTTATTTCTTGCAATATCATTTTGCAGTAAAATCATTCATTTCTTCGAGTAATGTCAAAATGTCAACAGAAATTATGAAATTTACAGAATTATATTCGCCAATAATATGTCTGCTTCTTGATATCGGTGTTAATCGTGTTTACACAAGAATAATTACTGAGATATTGTTCTATCAATTAATACTATGACGGACAGAAGATGTTAGGACGATTAATCTCAAGAAAATTACACTTATACATACAATCAGAAAGTGACAATGAAATTTTAGAGATACATCATGCGAGAAAGAGAGCATAATTCATAGAAAATAATGAAGACAAAAGAAAACGAGAGAAACATTCAGTAAACAACTTAACGAGATTTTGTGAATAGATAGAAGAAGAAAAAGCAGAGTGTTGAAATTAATTAGTGCAGCAATGGATGAGATTTAGAAGGCACGAATTGCCCACGTTCTCAAGGTATCCGGTAACTCTACAATTATTGAAAACTATTCAATCATTTATTATCAGTCTTCGAATTGTCTCTCCGTAACTTATGTTTATGCTATCAAATAAGGAATTCCAGTTAATTTTCATGAAATACCCCAGGATTTTTATTTCTTTTCATTTTCGTTTTCCTGCTTTAGTATTTTCTGATAGAACGTTTGTGTTTTTGCCAGACTTGTTGCAAATTCTTTCTTTTAAAGTTTGTATTTACTCACCCCCACCCCGACGTGGTCAGGTTGTGACACAAGTTCGGATTAATGTGGGGAGTCCGAGCGCATACACCCGGGCTAGGAACAAAAATTTCCGAGACCCTGCAGCCGATCCCTCTCTCTAGTGCAATGAGAGGGCGCGGATTTTGGAAGCTTTTCCCCAGGGCTTGGCACCTCTCAGTATAATTTTCTTCGGCTGAAATTCTGTCCTTTGACGGAATCGCTCCAGAGCACACTCTGCCTAAGGACAGAGACCCACCTGAGAGATGATAAATAGATGTGATACAAACTAATTGAGAGAGAGAGAGTAATTTTCACACTTTCTGTTCAAGTTAATCATCTATTTTACTGGCTCGAGTATTTATCAAATCCACTGCTTGCAGAATCAACGCAATTCTTAAAGTCATTATTTCACTCCCTGAGGCAATTCACTTTATCGAAGATATCTCTGAAGAGCAGTGTTTATGCATATACACCCTTGTGCAAATTAATTAAAGCAACCGGTTAGTTTGCCTTTTTTCACTATACAGTCAGTTTTAGACCCACTAGAGTGTCAGGGCGTAATCTATTTCTATTTTTCCTCAGATTATATCATTTGCAGTGGTGTGCCGTAATATGAATCTATTTTCAGAGTGTATGATAAAATTTGTTAACCTTGAAAAATATTGCGTCATCCGTTATTGTATCAGATTTTTCTCACGTCCAGATAATATTGTCTCGACTGTCAATCAGTTTTCCTACAGACATTGTCTGCGGTGGACGTTATTCCAAAGAAGCGTCCGAAAATTATAACGCTGCAGGAACACACTGGCAAACCTTACCAGTGAGCAAATCAAAGACTGGCCCGGAAATTCTCGTGATTTAAATCCAATCAAGATCCTGTGATCAAGCTGCAAGGAACAACTTTGAGTAATGGACATACGAAGTATTAACATATGTACTGGGTCATGTTTCATTGGGAAAACACGAAAAAAGAGTAAATAATAACGGAATTCGTTTTGTTTTAATTCATTTGCACAGGGGTGTGGATCAGATTTCTTATTTTTAACCACAATTCTTGCCCTGATTTGGCAGGTCGCGTGGAAATTGTTTACATCTTTAAACCCTTTATTTTCATGTCCGTAGTTTTTAGTCGAATTTCTAATATTTTCCGATTCACTGCTATATTCCTTTTGATCTTTTATATTCATTCTACATTTCCTGAGATTTTAGTTTGCTTTTCAATCGAGTGTTCTGATGATTGGTTTGGATAAGAAAAGTTTACTCTGTTAGTGCTTGTTTTCCTGTATATATATATATATATATATATATATATATATATATATATATATATATATATATGTATTGCACTGTACGTTTCATAGTTCTGATTTAAGTCACTCTATCTTCCAAGTTTCAATTATTTTAGTTTGAAATTTGACGTAAACCTTACCCAAGAGATGTTTGATATTTTCCGCTGACATTGTAAAATTATATTCCATTAATATTCCACAAGATAAAATTAAGCTCTATCATTGATATCATGATAATTAACGGAGACAGAATGTCTTCCTGAAATAATCCCAGCTAGGGATTTAGATCTAAATTACAGGATACCATTGCGTCGTTTAGGAATTTCGCCAAATATTTTAAGATTTCCCATCTCATGTTGCAGAGATGAAAAGAAAACTGGAGGTAAAAGAAATGTGAATCTACAGAAGGATACTGAGATTTCCATATGCGGATCGAGCAAGAAACGTTGGAGTCTTAAAGAATATGGCAACAAAATGAACAAATGACAATGACAAAATAGATGAAATTCCTTGAAACCTTAAGGAGGAAAGAGAGCTTGGAAAAATTAACA